TATTGTCAAACTGTGGAATAAATGATTTACTAAGAGGTCTCTTGGCTCAGCCTAGCAGCTTTATTACTGTAACTTGTTTTGTAAACAACCTCCTCCCCCCACCCCGTATTTTTTCCATCAAGTGTCTTTGTGTAAATTCTATTGTTAAGCGCTACTTAGATGCATTTCAAACGCCATAAATAATGCAATGTCAGTTTTTTTACCAGCTGGAGACTCCATTCAGAGTCACCCAAAGGTGTAGTTTGTGTGAGACCCTTAAGGGTACATATTTTCAATGCATCTAGAACAGTGTATTTCCCACTGTTATCACAGCTGATTGCATTTGCTGGAGATGGCTCCGTCTCAGCTGGAAGGTGGTTTTCTGGTAGACCTCAGGTTTCCAGAGAGCTGAAAGCTGTGTTTCATTTCAAGTCCTGTGAATGTTCTGCAAATTCTGTTGTGCAAAATAGATCAGGACCTAGGGTTATGAGAGGTAGTCCTGAAAAACTAAAACTAAAAAAACCTGTTTTTCAGGTTTTTTTCATGCTTTTTTTTTTTAATCAAGTGTTGTCTGAATGGTCAGAGGGAATGTAATAAAAAMCATTTGTTGTAAATGAATAATATGACTTGACTTTGATGTATTCATGAGCCCCTTGTTAGCCTTCTGAAAACACAACTGAAAATGAAATGTTTCTTCAATAATACTGGAATGGGRAAATGTGTTATATCTGAGTCCTTATGGGCAGGCATAATTGTGTGGCTACATGTGCTTGTTCTGAGTTTGTCCTGTGAAATACAAGCACACTTGACAGATGTCAAATCCTTGGTGAACAACTGCGGTGATCATGACAGTGGAAGCTGTGGACAATCCATGTCATCATACTGGCTCAGAATCTGAGTTTAGGCTTGAGCCACTGCATTTCTGAATATCCACGCTAGATACATGCTGCTTTTCAAGCTGGCTCCTGGATGGACTGAGCAATCATATTTTCCTGACAGGAAGAGACAGGCATTGCTGGGGAGCACATCACAATGGGCTTGTCCCTGAAAGTGAGATAAACACAGCCTGTGGTGGGTGCCCTGGCTCTGCAGACTCACACTGAGGAGAGAGAGCACAGCTGTTGGATGAGATGGACAAGTCCAACTTGTCTTCTGCTCGAGGGAGACACGATCTGCAATTGTCCTGCCCAGGCACGTGATGCAACAGTTGCAGAGTAAGGTTTGCAAGGATGAGGATGGTGGGCAGCTGGAGGACGTGGGAACAGTTTTAAAGTGATTCCAGGAACTGGAGGAAGCTCTGAGGAAGCAGAGCAAATGGATTTTGAAGTCCGCCTTGGTGTGCTGCTTCCCTTGTCATGCCAACCAACTCATCCCATGACCACTCACCCCACTTCACTTGGCTCTCAAGTTCCATGAAAATGGGCTATTCACTAAAAAGCCCAGAGATCACCTGCTTGTGTCTCTTGACCAGTTTTCTGTGCAGTAGTGCAATCCGGCATGAAACCCTCCAGGGCTGATTCAAACAGATAAGCTCAACAACACACATCTTCACACTCTTATCTTATGGAAATGATGTTTTCAGAGTTAACTGCTTTGAAGTGACTTTGTGCCAGACTGGTCTGAGCAGYTTTTGATGGTCAGTGGCAAATATTTCTGACTCAGAATGGTGAAAATCATTCAGTAGCTTCATAATATTATGTCTGATATCAAAGCTAGCCAGAAATGATGAAGAACTGCTTTGTGAGTACAGAGATGGATTTTTTTACCTGTTTTAGGAAAGGATTTGGCCATCTTTTGATGACTTATCTGTGTTCAGGGTCCAAGGAATAGAGCAACTAAGCTTTCTCTGTCTTAAGAACTAGAAGTGGACTTCAGGAAAGAAATGTCTTGGAGAACTTGGCAATATATTTTGTGTATTTCTATATGTCTGATGTAATGAGGAAACAATCTCCTCCTTCCAGTTTTTTAACCCTTATACAAAGAGAACCGTAGTGTCCCAGTGATGAATGTGACTGAGTGTGTGAGAAACAAGCAGCTGATAATGGCAACCTTTGATGATGCTGAGTTGATGAAAGAAGAAATAATGGTGTACCCTCTACAAGTTATTGCTGGGAGTTTCCATAAAAGTTTAGTAAATGAAGTCTGAGGCTCAATTAAACAACATCTTGTCTGTCTTGTGTGCCCAGGACAATACATTGTTTGCTGTGAATAGACCACCCGAGGGCTGGTCATGTGTTTTGGTAGAAATCATAGTTTTGTCAAACAAAGCAAAAGGCATAATTATAGCTTTTTTAATATTAAAAAAATCACCCTATTTTAATTATTATTGTGCATTTCCAATTAGAAGTGCATTAAACAGTTGCCATTAGAAACTTTAAAGCATGAAAACAGCAGAAGGCCAGAGACAAGACACAAAAAAATCCTAAGTCAGAGTCAGATATGGCCACAGAATTAAAAAAATTCTCTCAAGGGTGTAAATAGTTGCAGTATGAAATACATGATGCTTAATCATATGCATTATTTATGTTTTGAGATCTATATTCCTTGGATATCTGAAGTCTAGATATCATAATGTTTAATACCTGTAAAATATAATAAATGGATGCAGATTGAGGAGGGAGTACAGGCTGTCTCTAGGGATCTGCACAGCGTGGAGTGGGAAGAAAAGTCTCTTTCAAAGATCACTTTGTAGCCTCAATAAGCCTAAATATAAAAYCCCTTGAGGTTTCTTTTTATGGTGTACATGCACAGGTATCAGTTGTTGTTTTCATATACATTGATTGTAATCAAATGTTTTGTTTGGGATGCTCTGTTTAAAACTACTATTTACCTCCCATTAGTTACTTTAAAGCCTGCTCCTCTTCTGGCTATGCTTTTCCTGTTAAGTTTTCATGAGAATTGCAGGTGAGCTCCTGGAGTTTCATCTCTGTTCCGCAGTGCTCTGTGATACTCTGACTTTCACTGGAACCTGCTCTTACTGTGGAGCTGCTCTGTGTGCTGTCACCCTGATGCTGCTGCAGACCACCTTGTGGTCTCCTTCAGCTGTTAAACAACTCTGGAGACTGGATAAAGATTATTTGGAGTAATACTTTGGTTCCCTGGGCCTGATGGTCTTGCCCAAGATACCTTTGCTTCTCTCTGTTGCATTTTTGGGGCTCGCTGTAGGTCCCTGATGGAAAGGCACTTGCAGGCACCTGTGCAACTCTGATGACATCAGGAAATACAACCCTTCTTAGTCCAGTGACCTAGGCACTCTGAGATTTTAATGAGATGATTTTTTTTTTATCTCTTTGCTTTGAAATAGAAATTAGCTCTGTCTGAATTAGGAGAGACAGCTCTTTCTGTACTTCTGCTGTGTTTTTTTAAAGGACAGATCTGTTGGCTGCTGAGGCACATTTCTAACTGATGCTCCCATGAGGAGGAAAATACAGAGAAAACACCATCACTTTGGATGAAAAGATGATCTCAGTGCCTAGTAATTATGCAGACTGAGGCACTGCATCACTTGGATGCCATTCTCACTTCTCAGAGTTTATATACATGACCAAGCCCTGTAATACTGTCTTGTTTTGGGCTTTCCTTGCATTTATTCTCAAACTGCCTTRTTCTTACATTATTGTAGCGTGAAAAGTCTCAGGCTGGGTCCAGCAACCCAGCATGAGAAAGGCATATACAATCCAAGAGCTGAAAAAGAGGCGATAGATAAATAAAGAACAAGAAAACACCGGGAAGAAATCTCCACACGGTAYGTATGTTACACCAGTGACTCAGTCTGGGGACTAGATCTTTAACATRTATTACAATAATGCAAGTTTTAGTCATGAACTATTGCTATTTATTGTTTTTTAAAATTATCATTGTTATTATTGCTTCTCATGTTATTATGTGCTTGGTCATTGAAATCTTCTTTAAGATGATGAAGTATCTCTTTTTTTTTTTGTCTGATCAGTGAAAAAGGACAGAAAAACTTAGAGAAATATGGACTAAAGTATGTACAAATATTTCATGTTCCAAATAGGAACATGAATCAAATAGGACCCTTAAATTTTGAGTGATTTTATCAGAGAAGAATTGCAAATGAACTGATTGCAGCAGAGTATGTTGCACAGTTAAAATGTTCAGAGGAAGACCTGTTTCCACACCTTTATCTCCTCCCTGCAYGGGAGAGCAGGGTTGCAGTGACACAGAGCAGTGACAGACAATTTTAGCTGCAAATTTGCAAAATGTCAGTGAAATAKAAAATTAATCTAGGACATCTACAGGATGTGCAGTATCAGCTGGTGCTGGTAGAGGACGTGGCATAAAGCCAAAGCTGTTTCCCTGGCACATCCTCCCCACCTGGATAGTCAGAAGGAAAGAGCTGGTAGGGRCAGAACATCCTCCTCTGTGCCTGTAGGCTGCCACAGGACAGCGTGTTACAAAGGGAACATGTTTCAACAACCAGGTATATACASCATAAAATACAAGGGCTGCATATAACAGCTGGTGTTTTGTAATCCCAGTGACTCAGTGTGTCTTTCCTAAGGAGAGAAAGTCACTGGAGCCACCTTCTGTGGTTGCCTGAAAGGCACACCTTTGCAGGTCCCACCTGCTGCTCCTCAATTAGCACTTGATAACGATCTCCCCTCTTGCTCCTCTCTCCACTAACCATGTGCCAAGAAACATCCTTCTGTCACTGCTGGTTCCATGTACCAGGTGGATGGACATTGCAGGAGGTTTTCATCATGCTGCTTATCAGCTACTTCTGCTTCATGACGCAAATATCTTCTCGCTGTCAAACCCTCTGGGAGAAATTACCTTTAATTAGTTCATTCTGTGTAGGTTATCCAGATACACTCTTTGATAGCAGTGCTATCACGTTTATTTCCCAAGTAGCAGTAATTATTATCGAGGAGAAAAATMAAAAATTGTTTTAGACCCCATACTTAGATCTGGTTTCCCACTCTTTTAGGCATAGGATGGTGGCTTAACACTGTTTTCTTTACCAGGTTGTTTGTCCAGCTGYGTTCTGTAGATGAGCATCACATCCCAGGGAGAAGCTGGAGAGGTTTCTATTGCTGGAGGATTTGCTCTGGCACCTGATGTGCGTGCCAGCAGCCATCTCATCAGCGGGATGTGGACGTCACTGTCACCATAGAGACAGCAAGGGGGATTCGGTTTCAAAAGGTGAAGAGAAGCTGGGAAGTAGGAAGGTAAGGCTGGGTCTGTGTCTCAACTCATGAAGGATTTTAAAGTGATGCTGTATTTAAAAGGATGCCACAGTAGAGGAGCACTGAATATTTATACACACGGGTRGAGATGTGCATCTAAGCACTGCTTCCCGTGCATATATTTGCATGAACTCCTTCGGGTAGGCTTGGGTGGCAAAGAACCCAATGCAGGTTTTTAAGAGCCTGCTAGCATTTAGGTTGTGCTCCCCCAATTATTCTTTTGCGGGTGGTGTAAAAAATGACTTGAATTCTGTTTATTTTCAGAAGTCATAAAATATCCACAACCTCAAGATTTTCTGTTTTGCACAGGAGCTGAGTGAGCTGTGGTGTGTTCTAAATTAACATTGTTCACTTCCATGCCTTTTTGTRGTCTTCAGTTGTGCTCTAGCAGTGGTGTGGATGTAAAGCAGTGGTGAGTGTTGACAGGCAAGGTAGGGATCAGCATGAGTCATTGCTCAACCACATGGGACTTTTAAAGCTTGAGTCTGTCCTGGCCTGGGAGAATTTGCAGATCTCTCTGTGCCCACTCTTATATCACCAGTTAAAATCACCCCTCCTGAGGGCTTACCCCAGTCCTTGCAAATACAACCTCCGTGAGGCATGGACTTGTTTAAAGCTTCAGTTTGCACACTTATAATCTCCAGCAGGGTGCTGACCCCATAAGGATGTTTTTTGTACCTTGGAAGCAAAAGATAATTCACAGGTATGGCTCTGAAGGGAGTGGTGGCAAGGAGGAGTGCATCTGGCAGAGGAACTCTTGAGTAATGCCGTATAAGCATTACTACAAAAAGGGTGGTAGAAGGCTTATAGGGACTGGCAAAAGATCTTKTCTGCAATGAATTCAGTTCTGGATACCACTGGAGAGGATGGGGCTGGGTGCATGTTTCTGATCTTGGGCCAGGGATGCTCAACAGAGCCCTTGAGCTCCTCTTTTCTCTGCCCAGCTTGCCACAGCTCCAGCAGGAAATAGCCAGAGCACAGCAAGTTTTTTAACCATGACACACTTGTCTTGACAGCTGGAGGAAGTCTGGCGTGGGAGCCAAATCTCCTGGCTTTGTGTCAGCYCTGGGGTATCTTTCCTGTTTTGGGAATTCCCCGCTGGGAAGGTACCATTGCTGTTTGGAGCAGAGCTCGGATCTCAGCCCCTGGGGCTGTCCACTCTGGGAGACATTTTTGGCAAGGATAAATATTTTTTGCTATTTCTAAGTCTCTTTGACTTTATAAATAGCTAAGTGACAAGTAAAAATTTTGGTATTCACCCTATGGCTGAATTTTCCGCAGGGCTGTTTGCATGTGTGCGTAATAGCATTTGTATTTATTATTCCTGCTGCTGTCGTCACTCACACGTTTTCTGCACACAGAACAAAAGGCTCCCTTTGCAGTCAGCTCATGGTCCAACTGCTGCGCAAAGACAGCGGAGGGCACAGAGAGCGCCTGGGGGGCACAAGGAATCCTTGAGATAACATTGCTTGGGCTTCTGTTGTCAGGCCTCTACAAACCATGATAACACATGTAGGCTTCATGCTAATGAGAGGCTGCCAGGGTGTATGTGAAGAACTGAGCTGCCTGTTTACATGCAGCTGGGGTTTGCGTTTTTGGGGGTACCGTTGTTGGGACATGTAGGGAGCTGGCTGATTTCCGTAACAAACTGYATTTCTAACTGATCATATCTGATGTTTGCTGCAGGATCTTGTCTACTCAGATTTTAGTCATTCAYCTTGACTTCTGTTTTAGGAGCAGTCTGACCAATATGAAAATATTGGTCGATATGAAAATCTGTGCTGGTGAACTTTCGGGTTTGACTCACTTTCTGGGATCAGCCTGTGTCTCAGTTATGGCTCAGTCTCATCATTAATCATTTGATCATGCTTTTTTGAGAGAACAGAAACTGTGATCACGTTACATTCAGAGCTCATCCGGTTCAGTTCCCTGTCTCCCATGGTGGTGGTCTCCAGCTGTTTCAGCAAAAAGAAATCCTGCATTAGGCAGGAAGGAGATAAGTTCTCTAAGCTGTAAYAGAAACTTTCTTCCACAGACAAACCATTCTCTGAGAACTGATTACCAATTAAGATTGCTACAAAGTCAGATATTAAGAGAGAAGTTGGATACCAACATTATCTAGTGGATCTGATCTGAAAAATTTTACTGATGCAGAAGCCACTCCTGAGTGACAGCAAAAGCAGGAGGACTGAGCATAAAGATGGGCTTGACCTCCAGCCTATAACCCTGAATTTGATAGATTCAATCAGTTGTTCCTCAACTAGAGGGGCTAATTAGCCACTCCTCTGGTTGCTCATCCCCTATAATATTCTCTTGCCACAGCATGTGCATGTTTTATCTGCTGGGGGAGAATTGGGAACAATACCTATTTTAACAAACACCACCATTTCCCCCTCTCTCTTGTTAGTGGTGTGGGTAATAGAATTCCTCTGCTATATATAATACCTCTCCCATAATGCCTCTCATTTGACAGCATGCATGAAGTAGTCGAGACCTGCTTCTGCAAATTATGCAGAAAMAGTATATTTTTTTTTGTCCTGCCTACAGCAGGAATATTTATATATACCAGATTTATTCTGTAGTCTTACAAAATGGTACAAGAAGTAGAGCCACAGCAGCTATCTTGCTCGTGGTATTGTTCTGTGACATTGTCATGCCTTCATAAGATTTTCTGAGGTGTTCTTTGGCTTAGGCTGTTAAGATTGGCTGTRATTTTGTTTTTGCTTTGAGAATAAGGGAGTATTCTCTGCCATCATGCCACTGGGTTTGTTGGCATGTAGCTAATTTACCAATCTGTGTTGGTAGGCACAGAAAATGCAGGCAAAGGCAGGCAAAAGAAAATGTGAAACTGATGCTGCTCATGATTTCACAATATAGAGATTTTTATTCACTGTCAGCATCTATGGTGATCATACTGATTGTTGCCCAAAATTATATATTGTTTTCTTTGTGCACACTTCCATACATTGGGTTAGGTGCTTGGATTTTTCAGTTGCCTCTGAGTTCAACCCTTCAAGTGTCCCTTAAGATTATTACAAATCTGTTTATTTTYACCTCTGTTTATTCTATAGGAGGATGAGAGAAGGAAAATAACTGTTCTGGGTGCTTGGTGTGATTCTGAGGGTATACAATCTCTTTCTACGTGAATCAGTGGACTTTGGAGAGGGTTTCCAAGTATGTCTAAATTCTGCTATGAAGTTAGCCTTTCTCTCAGATTGGGCCCCAGCCAGCAAGGATAAATTTTCAGGCAATCCAGCYAGGATTTTTCTATGTGATAAGGGGAATGATGAGGAACTCTAAGCTCTGAACAGATGACTCAGGGCCTCTGGTGCTGAGTTAGACCTATCACTGTACCTATTGCAGAGGTATGCAGGCCACACCCAATTTCATCCTCTGCCCACACACAAATGTGTCATCTATCTGTGCATGACTGAAATGCTTATATCAGACATGTTTACCTGGCAAAATTGTGGGAACGTTCCTAAAAGGCTATTTTATGCTTCTGACTTTTCAAATATTTTTTCTTATTTCTGATCATTCTGTCCCTTATTTGGATCTGTTGCACCTTGTGTGGGGTCCACTTGTGCACGTAGATCTGTATGGGAGAGCTGTGTTTGCAGGGCCATTTGTGAATCATACCAGTCTAAGAAAACRTAGTGGGAGAGAGCCAGTGAGATTWAACAATGTATGGAATAAAGATGTATCACTTTGCTTATTTTGGGTATAAATGTCTCTTAATATGAAGTATTCCATGGAAAGGTTAGTTTGGATTAATGGAATTGATAAAGGCATGTGCTCTTTGTTTCCMTGAATGGCAGAGGATTAAAAGGTGGCTGTATCTGGCATCCATATGCAAGTCATGCTAGAATCAGTTCAATGCTATGAAATTTAGTGCTATGAAATTCATGCACCTTTTCCACACTGTGTAAGAGAGGCTGTGACATCATTCAACTAATAGGAAAAAGTGGCTTTCTAGGCTAAAGGAATGTATCTTATGATGTTACATTAAACATTCAAATGGCCTTGGTCAGAACTTTAATGTATGCTTGTGTGTGTATCTCTCAGATTAGGAACTCCAAGCAAGCTTCTCTGGGTTGTTTGGAAGATATCCTCAAGCCTTCTTTCAGAGCACAGGACATCCTTAGGCAAATTATAATGAGGGTTTGTCTCAAAGCAAAGATGGAAGCTGAGGTCTGGCTCATGAGAAGGTGGTTTGTAAGCTGCCCTCATTGGAAGGGAAAGAGGAGATGCGATCTTCCATCTGGGAAGAGTTGTYCTAGGTGCTGCTGACAGAACAGTTGCTTTCTAATTCTAAACAGCCTCGAGCTGGAGGAAAGGGGGATTACTTCTGTGGAGCTGGGAAAAGAAGGGAATAGAAATGGAGGGAAAATCAGTTTCCCTATTTCCTATCCCTATCCTCTGGGAGTCCCAGAGGACTATGGGATCAACGCCTTCTGAGGAAGGGATACATGGAGTCATTGTAGAAGCCCAAGGTTTAGACCATCTATCATTACATTTCTCTTGGTTCACTTTCCTTTTTCTGTCAGTCCCAAGAATTCCCAAAGTAAACTGCAGCCAGAGGATTTCAGAGTCCTACTTCTGAGCGGACTCACAGCTGAGTCACATCCTGCCTTACCTGACATTGCACAAACGACCCAGAGAAAGCAGCATGATCTGGCTCCTCTGTGGTAACTTAAAATGAGAAGGATGGTTGTTGGCATGCATTTCTCAATGTGCGGTACAGCAAAATACTTTTTTGCAGAACTGTCAGCAAAGGCCGTTGCAGAACAAAGGATGTACAGGCATTAATCTGGGATAATGATGGAAAAGAGGTGGCAGGAGGATCTGAGAAGATGTGAGTCTCTTAACGCGTGACAATTTTTACTGGAAAGCCAGGAGCACAGGTTTGACTAGTTCCCAAAGTAGTCTAAATTTTTTGGCTAATGTTTAAGAAACAACTTGCRGTGTTAATGGCAGCAATA